GTGGCGAGCCTTTAAAGCAACTACCTGCCAAACTGAAACCCAGACCAAGTAGTAGCGTCACTCAGTCACATGCAGGCCAAACCACAAAGGTAAGTACTCTCACCATCCCCAAATCAACTTGGCAGACAATAGTTCATAGTCCTTCAATGCTTTAACCCTTCATACCCTGCTTACATAAGGCATAAAGTCAGACCATCCAATCTTATGGAATATCCCTGACTGAGCCATTGAGCATATACGAACAGGTTGCACAACTACTTCTCTCTTCCTTTGGGCATATGACTAAGTCATTCATCGTAGAAACAATGCTTAGTCGCCCCGAACTTATTTAACATCCAAGTTATATATATATATCTCTGAACTTGGTGTTCAAAAACTGAGCATAGGACTGAGCTATTCATCTTAGAAACAATGCTCAGCCTGCCCAAAGTTACCTTCAATTATACTCTTAGTTATACTCTCTTCAGATTCATGATTAGCTATGGCCAGACCACCCAATTTTATGGGACCCTGTCGGACCAGCCTGTTTTTAAGTAGAGTAATAATAAAATATAACCAAATTATAACCTTTTGGTTTCCAGCATCTGCGAGGCACTGGGCCAGACCATCCAATCTTATGGAACATGTCTGGTCCTTTGCTAAGTTCATTCCTCTCTGATCCATCTGTGTGCGGCATGAGTCCAAAGTCATCCAATCTTATGGAACATGCTTTGTCCTCAACAGAAATTACTCCCTCAAAATAAACAAACAAAAGAGTTGAGCCATTCATCTTAGAAACAATGCTCAACCCCTTTTTCTCAGTACAAAAAAAAAGACAGAGTACTCTGAGTTAAACTCAGAGACTGTTCAGAAACCACCCAGAAATAAACGACGACCAGACCATTCATCTTAAAAACAATGTCCGGTCCTCAAAACTCAGGCAATCAATACCCCTCAAAGTAAGTAGTCAGGCCATTCATCTTAGAAACAATGCCTGGCACAACTAAATAAACACAGCGACCAAGTCATTCGTCTTAGAAACAATGCTTGGCCCTTCAGAAAACAGAACAAAACACACCAGTCAGGCCATTCATTTTAGAAACAATGCCTGACCCTATAAGACTCGTTCAGATACAAGCAAACTCCCTTCGTCCCAACCTTCCCCTAGGTGCAATTCCCCTTTTGCTCACAATCTGCCTTCAGGCAATCAACAAAATTGAAACTGAGATTGCACAAGCATTCTTTTACTTAATCTGGTTCACTTCCTGAAAGTCAAACTGAAAGTCAAAGTAGGAGGGGACAATCAACATACTCAATCAGATATAGTGACAATTACAAGTAGGGTTTATACTGGGTTTATAGAAGGACATTAGGGGGTACCTCTCAATTCCCTGCCTCCAGAACCTCGCCTAGGTTCCGGCAGAGCTCCCGCAATCGGTGGGTTGACTTCCCACAGAGTCTTGCTGCGGTCCTACGGGTTGCAATTCCGCCTGCCGCCTTTTTCTCAGAACCAATGGACTAGACTTAGATTAAGAAGGACAAAGGTAGAAGATATTAGACTCTCATATCCAAGGGGGTTGCTCTCAGACTCGCACGAGAGGGCCTCGATTTCTTGATTCGCCCGAGGGCCCCGCAATAGTGGTCAATCACCAACTTGGTCAGTGAAGTCAAACTGCCGAAGTAGCCCCTCCTTACGAACCTTCAGCTCACGACGTCAACCCCCTTTCCCCGAGCCTAAATCCTCCTCGTAGGCCAATCACTCCCCTCCTCACACCTTATCCGAACAACAGTCAATCTTAGTGCTAGCTACCCAAACTCAGTGTGCCCCCCGGAATGAACTTAGCGAAACTGAGTACACAACAGCTGCCCCCGCAACAAGACACCGCGCTCCCAGTAGCCCAGCTTGCTCTTCGCACCATGCCTCCCTGCAGCTAGCCTCGTTGCAGTTGTGCTCAACAGTAACCAGCGCTGCCAGCTAGGGGCGGGGCCCGCAGTTTCGTAGCCCGCGCACCCGCCGCCACTTCGTGCCCTGTGCCGCCTTACCAACGGGGCCGCCTTCAATCCTTCAATCAGCCTTGCACCATCTCACTGTTATGCCGAACCTCACTCTGACCATGCGGTTAGTAGCTCTGATACAGAGCACAGAGCCTTGGCGACAAGAAACCAACCTACAGGGCACAGCAGCAGGCGAACGTGGGGGGGGCACAGTCTGCCAATGAGTACCACAGTGCGGCAATGCACGGTGCTGACCCAACCCGTCCCTTTCTCTTCGCCGTTCGCACACAGTCGGGCCGTCCCGCAGTATAACCAACTCATCTGCCTTCGGGGATTCCCTGCAGGGTCACAGTCAACTTCCAGCCACCCCACACTGCCGAGGAATTTGCACGTCGGCTAGCGGCCAGTGCCTACGGCCTCGTAGCCAGCACGTTCCTATGCCTGCTACACCTTACTTGGCCGGCTAAAGTCTATAGCAGGCTAAGCTCCCCGCTACTATACGCAGTGACAGTTCGAAAGGCAACAGGCTGTCGGCGCTGTAGCCCGTCACGGAGGCTAGATATGCCCCTGCACAAATTACGGCAGACCATCCCCTCCGTGCATGCATCCGGCCCAGATCCGTGTCCGGATTCGTTTGTCTTTCTCCCTCCTTCCCCACTGCTCGGCGCACCAGTTTTCTCACCAGCACCTCCCTATACTAACCGTCTCACTAATCTAATGCTTCTAACAGGTTCGCCTCCCGTTAGTTTTCTCGCAGGAAAAGACAGAAAAAAAACGAATGAATCTTCTACGAGAACATGGGCAAATACATTGCCCCTTTTTCCCTTCGCGCAGCTCTTCCAGCCCCTAACGGCCGAACTACCGGCCAAACTCCGAATCCGCCACGGTCATCGTTCCCGAACTGCTTCAGAACCCCGACTTACTTTCTTCCCTCACTCGTTTTCGCCGAGAGACGAGTGAGATGCCCCTTTCTTTCCCTCATCACCTCTCCCGCCATAGCTCCACGCAGTGTGTTCTCCACTAACCTCATACTCAGCTGACCTACTGACCGAACTAACCCTCCCAATGCATTCGGCCGGGGCCAAAACCCTTGGACCGCCTCTCGGCTCGCCCGATTCCATGAAGGATCGAGCGAGCTATGTGTTTCTACTGCCCGCCATAGCTCACCTTTGCCCTCTCTCCGCCTCGCATGCACTTGGATGCGACCCCCGTCCCGATGCATTCGTTCTCCCCTCTTTGTTGCCTGCTGTTTCGTCACTCTGCCACGCTCACCGCCCGCTCCCACCACACTCACTATCCGCTGCGCTATCAGTTAGCAACAGCGCGGTGCCGCCCGACCCTGTCTATAGCTACTTCCCACTCAGCGCCCTGCAACCATTACGGGCCGAGTCCACCTGTTCCCAACGCCCCTTCCCCCGTATGCACGCGGTGCGGATGTCCGCCCGGTATCGCTCGGCTCCCCTCCCCTCTACGCCGTGGCTCACCACCTTACCACCCCCCTTTTCGAACTCACCTGGCGCCACCCGCGTCCAGGTTCACTCCCCGCCTAGTGCCCCGCCTCCCATCAGCCGTCCTGCTGCTGGTCAGCGTGGCGCTGTCTGACCAGCTCCCCTTTGCTAATCTTGAGTGCACCTTCCGCCGGGCCCCGTCCAGAGTCATTTACCCACTATCGCTGCGCGCTCGTTTTCCCTTTCTGCGCCCGCCTCTCCATTTTTCAGCCCGCCCCCCCCTCTCCGCTGCTCTTTGTTTCCACGCCAAGGCACGTCTGCGCTCCCTACTCCTACCGCTGCGCCCTGGCTCTCACGAGGGAAGGGGACCGGAGGGGAGGCACAGTAACTGGCCCGCCGGAGAGACTCGGTCCTGATGCCGCCGGCCGATCCCTGACCGACATTACCCACCTGCCACATCTATCAGCCCCGACCCCAACAGTGCTACAGTGCGGCGAGCACCAGAACTCGGGCCCGCTGCTGAGCCTGCAATGCGGGCCTGGAGGACGGTGAGTCCCGGTGCAGACCTTGGTGGTTGCAACAATCGTTCAAATGAGGACTTTAAATGCCGAGGTTGTGAGGGGTTCTGTGGGGACAGCGGCCTGAGCCAGACGTAGCCCCGCCCGTCGTCCCAGCGGGCATGCTCACACTCAGACCTCTCACAGTAAATCGTGTCCGGCGGATGGTGCATTGCAGGTCCTTGACTGCCGTGACCGCCACCTGTGGGGGGTTTCAATCGCTCCCCACCGCCAGCATCCCGAACACACAGGAACCCGAACGGGCCCATCGAAAAAGGCACGTGCTCAAGGCCCTTGACTGCCGGGACAGCCACTAAGTCCGACGTCACGTCGCCGGAACCTACAAAGTCAAAACAACCCAAAAGACGACATAAATAAACGTTGCCCGCCCTACTGACCTGTGACTCCGCGCACGCCTAGGCAGCGCACAGTCGTGCCTCACCGTCAATACCCCCACGCCGCCACGCGCGCCTCTCACCCTGACAAGAACCTATGCTTCCCCTCACGCACACGCCGCCAGGCGGGCGACACTGCACTTGCGTGACTTGCAAAAACCACGCCAAATACCCTTGTAAGGGTATTTGGTACGACAGAGGCCCCCACGCCGTTTCAAAATATTTTAGACCACGGCCACCTACCGGTTTCCAGGAAAATGCCACGGGCAAATACCGGTCCTGCCGTTGCTTGAACTGCGCTCCCCCCCTTAAATGCCAGTGCCTTTCATTTTACCAGCCTTTGAACGACCAATGGGCCCGAATGAACGACCGGTATAACGAACGACGACGAAAATGTCTCAGGGGGGGAAAACGCAACCCTGACGGGCTGCGAACACCGGGGCAACACCCCCCCAAAAAACGAAAACGGGTAACACTGGGCCTCGACGCACGACGGGCCAAAAACGCGCCACGGACCAAAACGGACCAAAACGGACCAAAACGACGGGCCAAAAACGCGCCACGGACCAAAACGGACCAAAAGGTTTTGGTGATTTGTGCGTCGAGGCCCAGTATCGGGCCGTTTTCGGTTTCTTTTTTCGGCTTCCATCCTCCGGTCTGCGCACCAAGCGAAAGCGTGAGGAGATGGCTCCTCTACTCTGGAAGACGAGGGGATATGGACACGGACACGGTGCGCACAACATGAAGTGAGAGCAGACAAGTAGCAGTGGCGAGGGGACACGGACACGGACACGATGCGCACAAGAAGAAGTGAGAGCAGACACGTAGCAGTGGTGTAAGTTGTTGGCTGGTGTGTGTTCCACTCCTCCGGATCGTACGTAAGTTTAGCAAGTTGGTATGGGCGAGATGGGTGTGTGCATTGCCACTCGTGGCTCTCTGTTTCTAAGGATGGAGAAACACTGAGGGCTTACTTGCACCAACACATTCCTAAGTGTATCTGAGTGCAATCACGGCCTGACTTCGATGCATCCGCCTGTAATCACCTCCTGAGCTCAGTCGAAAACGTCTTGGTGTGAGGATTATGCCCAGAGAGGGGGGGAATGTATGTCTGTCTATTTTTTCGTCTCTGGTTGAGAAAGTGAATCCTTTCGCTCTTCGAAAAGGAAAAAAAAAAAGAAAAAAAAAGAAAAAAGAAAAAAGAAAAACAAGAAGTGCTAGGTGATCAGATGGTATCGGGAGAGGATGGGATGGTAGCAAGACATGGCCGATGGGATCGAGGCAGGCAAGATCGGATTGGGAGAAGAGAGGGAGATGGTTGCATTTCATAGGGAATGGGGATCGGCGCGGGGGGTTGAGGGGGGGGGGCGAATAAAATTTTATTTGCCAGTCTCCCTTTCCGCAAACGAAACGGGAACCATGTCATGCGTTCGACTGCTCATACTCGCTGCTGAAATGATCGACAAATTTTTGTTGTTGTCATTTGCTTCCTTTTTGCGTAGAGGGATCGACAAGTTTTGTTGTTGTCATTTGGTTCCTTTTTGTCTTTCTTAAAACGTTCTTTATAACAAGACTAGACAATAAGTGCGAAGGAGGACGTAGGAGGAGGAAGGGAGGGAGGAGGAAGGAGGACGTAGGAGGAGGAAGGGAGGGAGGAGGAAGGAGGACGTAGGAGGAGGAAGGGGGAATGAGGAAGGAGAGGGAGGAGGGCAGGGGGAGACAAGGGTGAGGAGGAGGGAGGAGGACGACGAGGAAGAGAACAAGAAAAAAATAGCGTGCCAATGTGCCACGTGGTGCGCGGCAGAAGAAGAGAGGAGGAGGAAGGAGGGGGGGGGAGCCGCGAGGAGGACGGCGAGGATCAGAGGAAGGTGGGGGCGGATAAAGTTTCTTTGCCAGTCTCCCTTCCTGTACGAACGGGGAATCATCTTATGCGTTCGACCGCGCATATTCGCTGCTTGAGTGATCGACAAATTTTGTTGTTCTCATTTGCTTCCTTTTCGTCGACAAATTTTGCTGTTCTCAAATTCGCTGCTTGAGTGATCGACAAATTTTACTAAGCAATAAGTGCGAAGGAGGACGAAGGAGGAGGGAGGAGGAGGAAGGAGGAAGGAGGAAGCAGGAGGAGGGAGGGGGAAGGAGGAAACAGGAGGGAGGAGGGAAGGGGAAGACGAGGAGGAGGGGAAGACGAGGAGGACGGAGGTCGATGTCAAGGAAGAGAACAAGAAAAATAGTGTGCCGATGTGCCACGCGGCATGACAGGCGAAGAGAGGAGGAGGAAGGAGGAAGGAGGGGGAGGAGGAGCGAGAAGGATGACGAGGATGAGAGAAAGGTGGAAAAAAAATTGCGTGCCGATGTCGCCCGTGGCACGCAACGGGAGAAGGGAGGAGGAGGAAGGAGGAGGAAGTAGGACGAGGGGAAATGAGGGAGAGGAGGAAAGGGGGGCGATGACGAGGATGAGGGAAAAATGGAAGGTAAAGAAATCGCGCGATGTTGTGCCGCGTGGCACGCCACAGGAGGAGAGGGGAGGAAGGAGGATGAAAGAGGAGGGAGGGGGAAGGGGAGGAGGGAGGGGAAAGGCGGAGGACGGAGGAGAACGGAAGGAGGACGAGCGGCGTCGAAGAGGACGGAGAAGGAGGGAGGAGGATGAGTAGGATGAGAACAAGAGGACAAAGAATCATTTGCGGGTTTGCCATGTGGTACGTGACAGGAGAAGAGGAGTTGGAAGGAGTAAGGAGGGAGGAGGACGAGGGGAGATGAGGAAGGAAGAGGAGGGAGGAAGAGAGGATGACGAGGACAAGAGCAAGATGGAAGGAAAAAAAATTGCATGATGGTTGGACACGTGGGACGTGACGGGAGGAGAGAGGGGAGGAAGGAGGAGCAAAGAGGAGAAAGGAGGAAGGAGAAGGAGGAAGGAGGGGGAAGGGGGAGGAGGGAGGAGGAGGACGGAGGAGGGACAAGAGGACGAGTGCAAGATGAAAAAAAATCACGTGCCGGTTCGCCAAGTGGCACGCGAAAGGGAAGGAGGAAAAGGGCGGGAGGACGAGGAAGGAGGAAGGGGGAGGACGGAGGGAGATGAAGAGGAAGGAGGAGGAAGGCGGAGGAGGAAGGCGGAGGAGGAAGGAGGAGGGAGAAGAATGAGAAAGACGAGAACAATATAAAATACAGATCGCGTGTTGCTGTGGCGCGTGGCACGCAACAAGAGGAGGGAGGAGGAGGAAGGAGGACGGGGAGGAAACGAGGAGAAAGGAGGAAGAGGAGGACGACGAGGCACGTTGAACGTGACGGGAGGAGTGAGGAGGAAGGAGGAAGGAGGAGGAGGAGGAAGTTGAAGTTGGAGGAAGGAGGAGGAGGGAGGAGGACAAGGGGAGATGAGGAAGGAAGAGGAGGCGGAGGGAGAATGACGAGTGCGAGAACAAGATTAAAAAAATCTTGTGCTTGTGTACCACGTGGCATGCGACGGAGGAGGAGGGTGGAGGAGGGAGGAGGAGGAAGTTGGAGGAAGGAGGGAGGACGACGCGGGGAGACGAGGCGGAAGGAGGGGGAGAGGATGACGAGGACAAGAACAAGAAAAAAAGAATGACGTGTCAGTGTGCCACGTGGCAGGCGATTGGAGGACAGAGTGGACAGGAGGATGGGGGGGGGACGAGGAGGAAAGAGATGACGAGGACCACAACAAGATGGAAATAAAATGGTGTGCCGGTGTGCCACGTGGCGCACAACCGGAGTAGAGAGGAGGAAGGAGGTAGGAGGAGGAAAGTTTGAAAGGAGGAAGGAGGATGGGGAAGATGAGGAGGAATGTGCCACACGGCAACACGGCGGGAGGAGAAAGTAGGAAGGAGGAGGGAGTAAAAAGGAGAGAGGAGGACTAGGTGAGATGAGGAGGATAAGCTGAGGACTAGGAGAGACGAGGATAATGGAGGAGGAGGAATGGGGTGAGGGAGGAGGATGACAAGTACGAAACAAGAAATGCAAATCTCACGCCACGACAGCAGAAGAGAGGAGGAGGGAGGAGGACGATCACAAGAATCATAAGATGAAGAAAATAAATTATGTGCCACACTGCCACGTGGCACGGGACTCTGGAGAGAGGAGCGAGGAGTATAACAGATTGCGTGACATTTGCATGACTGAAAGCACCACTTTCTCCAATGCTATTTGTTAACCTGACTTTTGCTGTAGWCTGTGTGTGTGTGTGTGAGTGAGAGAGAGAGAGAGAGAGAGAGAGAGAGAGAGAGAGAGAGAGAGAGAGAGAGAGAGAGAGAGTACATTTTACCCAGTACATCTGTTTGATATGATTTGTATTTTTCCCATTTGTGCGGGCGTAGCCGCACTGGCTTCACTTGTAGCTATTTATCTATCGTGTTTGGGCCTCCGGATATTTTTTCTCGATAAAGAATAGTCATTTTGCTGTAGCGAGGCTTTTCCTGCTCTGTTTCTCTCCTGCTGTCTCTCTCTCTCTCTCCTTTAAGGACACGTAGGGGTTTGGCGCCAGGCATGCCTGTATCCAGGCCACCTCCCGACATGAAGCTAAGTGAGAGCTATGTACTCGATGCTGCTCATTCATGCTTTCAATTTCTTTCTCGTCAAAGCAAGCATTGCTTGAAAGAAAATTATGTGGAGCTAGGCTGGTCGACACGGGGCAGACAGGTCTCATTTTCACGGCATATCACTGTCTTTAGAACTCTTTAAAGTGTTCGCTGCTTGGCATTTTGGCGGTCTTCCCCTGCATTTATTCCCATGTTGTGAATGCTTTGCCGACTAGGCAACACTCTGCTTTTCTCTGTCTTTTCTGACACATGTTTTTTGCCTTTTTTCCCTCCTGTTGGCCTGCCTCTTGGGCTGCAGGTGACCCCTGCTGAAAGTGTCTTCGTGTCGGAGACTAATTAATAGGGGAGGTTTTTGCTATGCTGCTCTCGGAGGCAACCCCCATGCTCTCTTGTCTACAACAGTCAAATTCTGCCGGACAGCGAAAATGTGGTGCATGACTTTCAGGCAAGTTACGCTGACTTGCACAGACAGAAGGCGAACTGCAACTGTGTCCAGTCATACTGCAAAAGCGTCCTATCAGCATGCTCTTCTGCCTCACAGGCTATCTGCCATGTATTGGCAGCAGATCCATCTACATCCAATGGCTGGCTGAGTCCCTGAGGAATATTGATCCTTTGTGCGGTGCGGTGGATCACCTGTAGGTAGGACGGGTCTTCCTGATGATCACACCCTTAGTTGAGCTAAGATGGCGATCGGCTTGCCGACCTCTGAGCTTAGGATCTATGACAGGCCCAGTATGGGCCTGAGAAATCCTGGCTGTTGTTCTCCGGCAGCCCTCGTAAAGCCATCTATTTTATGCAAGTCTGTTGTATCTCCTAGCATATGGAAGCATGCGGACAATCGCGTGCTCCTGGGCGAACCTGGAGGCCGGATACGTCACTGCGGTTTACAGAGTGCTGGTGTGGAACAGCCATTGCGGGCTCCTGGTGATGCAAGTTCCGGCGCGCAATGCTCGCCAGCTCAGTGCTTGCTGGCGAAGCGGAATCTCTCAGACTCGAGGCGGTGGACGGGAGGGAGTAACTTGGCACCGGGTGTTTTCCCATGTGCCAGCTCTGCGTGTCTTGCCAAAGCACGGGGTGAACACGGTCGACGTGTACCATGTCGAACCAGGTTGGTGGCAGGGAGAGAGTCGTCGTTTCCCAGATGCATTGGAGGTGCAGGGAATCGCCAGGGAAGCACACTTTGCAGGGAGAAGGATTGGCTCGGTCATGTGGAGGCGTTTCGGCTCTCTCCTCCACCAGTATCATATTGCAGGAAACTAAGGAAAGCGATGCTGACAGCCGTGCGATGTGTGCAGTGGGTTGCACAGGGAAGAGAGAGGGGACAAGGCGGTGATTTGGAAACAGGTAGCAGCGGGGAGGTTGATCAGCCGCTGGGAGGAGTGAGGCAGTTCCTGGGAGGCCCTGTTGGAAAGGTGGTGGTGGTTGTCTGCGTCAGTTTATTTCTCGGAAAGGTATTTGGGCCCGGAAGGTTACAAATGGTACCAGATGTCGGTGAAACTGGGAAGGCAGTTTCTATGTCCCTGGACAATACTTGCAAGGGGGTGCTTGCCTGGTCAGCCGCGTCATGGCCAAAATTAAGGGCGCTTCTAGGGTTGTTCAGGGACCAAGGGCCATTGTTAGCAGTGTTGCTCGTGCTGTCTGCATTTTTTGCTTGTGCTGAGACAGCCATCACCACCTTGTGGCCTTGGAAGGTGCGAGAGCTAGCGGAGAAGGAAAAGGATCCGGGTGGTGTGTTCACGATGCTTCGCAGGGATGTGACAAGGTTTTTGACGACCGCGCTAATCGGGTCGACGGCGACCAACATTGCGGCAACGGCCTTGGTGACAGATGCGGTCACCCAGCTGTTTGGGGAAGCAGGGATCGGCGCATCCACTGGTGTCATGACGGTGGTTATTCTTCTCTTGACGGAGATAGCCCCGAAGAGCATTGCTGTTCACAATGCCACCGAGGTTGCGCGCGTTGTCATCCGTCCCGTGGCATGGTTTTCTATCATCTTGTATCCAGTAGGAAGGGCGTGCACAGTCATCTCGATGGCTTTGCTCAAGTTCCTGGGTCTCAAGAGCTCAAAGGAGCCGTTTGTAACAGAAGAGGAACTGAAACTAGTTTTAAGCGGAGCAGAGATGAGTGGGGCAATTGAAGAGGAGGAGCAGGACATGATTGAAAACGTGTTGGAGCTGGAAGACACACCTGCCAGGGAGGTAATGACACCTCTCGTAGATGTGGTCGCTATTGATTCCGAGGCGACGCTGATGGACCTTCGTAACCTGTGGGTGAAACACAAGTACTCGCGTGTCCCGGTGTTTGAGAAGCGCGTGGACAACATTGTGGGTGTCGTTTACGCCATGGACATGCTTGATTATGTCGAGCAGTTGGATCTGATGCAGACGCTGACTGTGGGACGTATTGCCCGCAAGCCTGCATACTTCGTCCCTGACTCGATGTCATTCTGGACCTTGTTGAGAGAGTTCCGCATCCGGAAAGTGCACATGGCGATTGTTGTGAACGAGTATGGTGGGACGGCTGGGCTTGTGACACTGGAAGATGTCGTGGAGGAGATCGTAGGTGAGATCTACGATGAGAACGATTCTAAGGAGGAGATTAGGAAGCGTGCTGGATATGTGGTGCAGATAGGGGATGGCGTGTATGATGTGGATGCCAACACGTCTGTCGAAGACCTTGAGGAGGAAATGGGGGTCGAAGTGCCTGAAGGGACCCATGGACCGCATCGTTATGAGACGGTCTCTGGCTTTGTGTGTGAGGCATTTGGGTACATCCCCCGGCCTGGCGAGGCCGTTGAGATCGCGTTGAAGCATAGAGGGGATCCGGACGAAGAGGGGAGGAGCTCTGGAGAGGATAAGATGGGTGGCGGTGGCACAGAGGGAGGTAGTTCCGAAGCCAGGCCTGTGGGGATTATGAAATACAGGCTTAAAGTCTTGTCGGGTAATGTCAGAAAGGTAGGATCTGTCCGATTTGAACGCCTAGGCTCTGTTGATACAACAAAGAACAAGTGGGATGCCTCCTCTGGAGGCAGAGAGAGAAAAGGGCTCCTTCCGGAGAGAAAACGGTGGCAAGGACTTGACCAGGGGTTGAGAGAGCTTCCATCCCAGGATGAGACGCTCGATGGGTTGGAAGGCATGGGGCTGGACGTGTCAAGGGGCGATGGGTCATCATCCCCTGTCACAGATGAACAACTGACCCCAGCAATTAGTTTTCCTGATGATGATATTGAAGATGGGTATGTCAGGAATCGCATGTTCATTGTTGATAATCTCAATGTAGACGTAAGTGATACAACAACTGTGAGCTGTACTGATGGATTACTGGAACCAATTACACGCGGAGAGGTCTTGGAGAACACAGGAATGGGCTATGGTTCCACTGTTGGATTGAATGAGAAGGGCGGGCCGTTTACGGAAGGGATATCCTGAGGAGGAGGGGGAGGACATGCACTTTGAGGGTTAGGCAAGGGCTCTGATGGTCTTCACACAGAGAGTGGGGAAAAGCTTGCAGGATGCGGTAAACAGCAGTTGAGTAATAGTTGGAAGAGAGGAGCAGGACAGGCAGTTTGAGGATGCAGGCAGGGGCTGTGGTTCATGTTCACACTAGGGAAAAACAGGTGGAAGATGGGGGAAACAGCAGTACTAATAATGGTTGAAGAGGGGTGCAGTGCGGTGACTGTGGGAAGTCAAAAAGGAGAGGTAGCTAGAGTGCAGCGTAACATCAGAGTGATTTGTGAATGCCACTGTTGTGCCGTCAGCAATCCCAGAAGCCTGGCATCTGACTTTTCTCCCTCCTCGACAAAGAAACCGAATATCCCCTCCTCTTTTCCTGTCTAGATTATCAGCCATGGCGAATGAACCTCCCTCCCTCCCTCGCTTTCTCTGTGGAGGAATAAACCGAATCTGGCCCTCTCTCCTACGTCCTCCTCCTCCTCCTCTCTCGTTCTCTCTCCCCTCCTCTCTCTCGCTCTCTCTCTCTCTCTCTCTC